CGACGGGCACGCCGTCAAGGCGGCGCGGGCGCTGCTCCTCGCGCAGCGCGTGTCGAGCCGGTGGGCTGGCAGGCCGTGGGTGCGGCTGCGCGACGACGCCGACTGGCGAGGGGCGCACTGCATGCTGCTCCGGGGCGTCGAGGGGGATGAACCCCTCTGGGTGCGTGGCGCGGGCTTCGACCAGGCGTGGGAGGGCGTCCCGCTGTTGTAGAAGTCACCAGACCGGCATTGTGTATGTATTTTTGCGGCGGTACGGAAGCCAGACATCATTCAGTAGCAAATGCTTGCACATGTGCCAAGCTATCGGCCCGACGTGGCCCGTGTCCGTGTCCGGGGCACTTGATAGTCGCCCAGGACGGGCCTGGCTGTACGGAGTAGTGCCATTGATGTTTTCGGCGGCCTACTCGCCGATGCTGGGGAGCACGAGAACTAGCCGTCGGTCACTGTACATTGTTCATGTAGCTATAATAAATGAAAAAAGATTATACTGTTTATTAGATGCAACTTGAACACGGAAAGGAGCCCAAAGTAATGCGTTAGGAAGGAAGACAGTAAAAAAAAAAATGAATTTATATACCGTCCTTACTTCCGGCAGAGGTCCAAATAAGCTTATTCAGAATCAGGCCCAATTTGGCTCTTCGCCTCCCCACAGTGAGCATGGGCCTGACAAGCGCGCCGGCCAATTCATCTCCCCGGCCAGAGAGGGCATTAAAAAAAGGGCGCGGCGCGGGATGCAGCGGCCCGGCGAATCGGATTTTTGCAGCTTGCAGCTTTGGCGTCTTCGGGGGCCAAGGTCTTGCTTGGAGTTTCTGCGCAATGGGAGTTGATGGGACCCGGTCGGCTTCCCGGCCCTGCGCTATCGGGCCAATGAGACGTGATGCAAAAGGGTCTGGTGCTCGATGCTCATGCCAGCGCAATGGATCCTGGGCATCTTGAACGATAGGCCGGGCTGTTGAGCAACGTCTGGCGCCATGTCGGCTGATTTGAGACAACACTGACGACGATTCGCACATGGCCGGTTTGAGATGCCACATTCTGGGCTTCCATGTTTGTACAAAACACCCGCCGCGTCTGGATGGCAGGCGAATGGCTACATGTAGGTATTCGCTCATCTCGTTCAGAGCAATTAGAAACTGTGTAGACGGAGAGGCCAGCGGGAACATCTCTCCGAGTCCCAAGTTGTTCTGTGATATCAATGATGGAAAATGTATGCTGTGGAACGGCGGAACATACCCTGTTCCCCGGACTGTATACTACTCCTAATACTCATAGACATCAACAACAAGGTAACAAGGCCCAGCAAAGTACATTTCAGCAACCCTAACATCACAGACTGCGTTGTGCACCCAAATCTTGATCAAAGAAACGAGAAGATAAAATATTATTCGCGTGCTCAGCATTGGTGAGCGGGTAATGTGGTTCTATCTCAACGTCAAACACCATTCCGTCGTATAAATAAACCCAACCAGCTCATTTTAGCCGAGAATCTCCACCGACCCCATCGACGTCATTATTCCAGTAGTGCTACTCAAGCCTTGCGTTTCTTGCTGGGCTTTTCCTCGTCCTCATCCTCGTCCATCTCACCGCCCTCGTCGTCTGCACCGTCATCATCAGATTCCGCCGCAGCAAGCTCCGCACCCTCCTCTGTGAACATGTTAGCGCACCAGTCCTTCAAAGCGTTGTGGATTCTGAAAAAGGGGGTGTAAGCCTACGGAAGTAGCGGATGGCCTCGGGCCACAGATCCTCCGCAATGGCGAGGGCGACATTGGCACCGGGAGGGAAGACGTCGTACTTGTACTCGTACTCGTAATCGTCGTCGTCGTCGTCGTCGTTTTCAATGTCGACGTCACCGTCGGCATCCTTATCCATCTTCACTTCGACTTCCTTGCCCTCCTGCCGGGCCTTGCGCTCCTCCTCCACAGTCTTGGCGACCTCGCGGCTCTCCTCTTCCGTGATGTAGTGGCCTCGGAAGCCGAAGAAGTTGAAGAAGCTGTTGCTGTCATCGGTGGCGTTCTCCTTCAGCTTGAGGAGCTTGATCTTGTTCTGCGTATCGCCAGTCTTGCCGGCCTTGTCATCCTCGTGAAGCTCCTTGGCCAGGGTCAGCAGGCCCTTGGTCAAGTCCTTTCCGGGCTTCCATTTGATCTCAACAGGCTCAGACACGAGACCGGTGAAGTCGTCCTTGCCGTGGCGATACCAGAACTTCTTCTCAATCATCTTGTCTTCAAAGTACTCGTTCTCAGAGAACTCGAACTTGATGGCAAAACTGCGAGGATCGCCGTCAGGAAGCTCAAAGCGCTCGACGGACATGTGCTTGAGAGAAGCCGCAATGAGCTTAGCATCCTCCATCTGAATGTGCTCGTCGATATCGGGCGGGGCTTGCTCCCAAACAAGAGGCCAGAAGTTTGGGATTTGAGAAATGACCTTTTCGCGCTTGGCGTAGAGATCGCGCGTCAGTTTATACTCCACGCGCACTGAGGTCAAGTTAGCCAAAAGTTGCCAAGCATCTGGATTTCGCCTGCTGAATCAGGGCAATCAAGTCTACAATAGACCTTGTGCTCATGTTGTCCCGCTAACCGCAAGACGGAGCTGTGTTGTTGAGGGGATGTGAAAAAAAGAGTGAAAAAAAAAAAACTTACTCAACTCTACGTCAACCTGGTCAAAGTCATCTTGGATGTCCTCGAGCTGTTCGTACATGACAGGGATGTGAATATCCTCAACAGACATTTTGCCGGTAACGGACGTAAATCTGGTGTAAAATTGAAGAACGTGCGACGAGATATATGGAGAGAGGTAGAGGAGGAAAAAGATGGCAGTGGGGAGGGATAGATGGAGAGAAAGAGAGAACAAGGAAAAAAAAAAGCTGGCGGTGACGGATCACTTATCAAGGGTCTGTTTGTTGACTACTACGGAGTGCGTAGATTCACACCAAACAAACACCACGAACTGCAGGCAGAACCGGAGCTGCAACTAGTCTCCACGAGCGTCCAGCCAACGAGAGGCAGCTCAAAATTGAACCTCGACTCCATCAAACGGTGAAGGAGTTGGAGCCTTCTTGCAGCCGGGGCGCACCAGAGACAGCTTCATCGCACATGCGGCTCGCAGCCACACACCACCACTGCGCAAGCCCGCCAAAATTTTCTTTGTACCAAACGACCCGGCCAGCCTGGTTGCTACAATGGCAGGACTGATGTCATTGGATCCGCCAAATCCCTGCAGGGCCACTTGGAGAGGCGAGAGGAAAAAAGCGAGAGGCAAAACGAGGAGCGAGGGCGTCGACTGGCCAGTTTGGCTACAGCCTCGCTTTGGAACCGCCACGGCCTTCTCCACTACGGCAAAAAGCCGTCGGCCAGCGCTTCTTGTCGGCTTCGAGCTAGGCTTGACGTCCACGGCAACCAGCAGGAACGGCGGGGAATCAAAAAGTGTGCCTTGTGGGAAGACGATTTTTTTTTTCGTGTTCGAGATGCTGCCCTACGCGAGCCTATTCTCACTCTGATTGGCACCTGCACCTTCCTGCAGCTCCGAATTTTCTGAGGCGCGACTTCCCAGATCGTTCCCTCCCCAACACCTCAGGCTCTGATTTGATATCAAACAAGTACGGACTACGGAGGACGTCCTCGACAAACAGCCTTTGGTGGGAGTCAAACTCCCTCCCTAACACTATTTTATGTAAAATAGCATGGCATCATGGATCTGTATTTGATCCAAGGCCCTTCTCCCCCGACCATCTCAGGGTCCAAGGTGGGGCCAGAATCAGGGTTGGTAGCTCCAAAACCGCACTGTCCTTCGACACAGACGATACCCGAGCATGCCAGCCTTGCGCGAGCAGCAACAATGTACAATATACCTCATGATAGAGGGGCATGATATGCTAGCGAAAATGAGTGCAAGGAAATCCAGCACGCTTGGTACATATTTCAGTGCCGTTGTTTCCATGCACAGTGTTTGCCAGCAACAGCTTGCCAGCTTGAAGAGCTTGAGGACTCGATGCCGTCAGGACTCAGGAGAGCCGCCACAAACACAGCTCCGCAAGCTGGGCATCTGGAAACATTGAAGCTAAACAGGAGCACACAGAAAGCTTATTCTGCTTCTAAACACCGGGCCCGTCTTGACAGATAGCCGCTGCTTTACTGGGCGTGTGTCTGCCTCTACTGGCAGCTCCCTGTTTTGCCCGGGCTTAAAAATAAAAGTCCGTGTATTCACGCGGCCTTCATTACTAGAATACTGTTGCGCCTTGATTAGTAAAAATGTTTTAGAAGAAAAGCTCTGCTCACCTCAAGTTCACATTAAAACCCTTCAGCCTAGAAGTGGCCCCATGCGCCGATGCCAAGGCCTATTAAACACTGGGAAACAAAGCAAGTCGCCCCACTTGACAGCAGTCGAACCCTGGAAGCTCCTGGAGCTCCTCCGATTCCGGGGTCCGCTGGGCCCCGATGTCTCCGAACCATGACATCGCGAATATTTCCACCACCACCAGTGTCCGTTTCTTCCTACAACAACCTCGTTGCCCCTCCTTCTTGTGCAATATTTGCGACCCAAGTCTCCGCGCCCGATGGGTTGACAGACAGAGACAGAGAGCCCCCAGCCTATTCATCCTTGAGCAATTTCCTCCGCCCCATGGCCCATCTCGTCGACCTCGATGTCCCGAAGAATGCAGCCCGCATCGACCTTTATATAAACGCCCCGTCATCGCCTTTCCTCCCTCACACAGCTCGCCGCATCTGCCCTCCTTCGTCCTAGTCCTCCCCGGCGCCTCGATATCCCTCCAGCCGCCCGTCCCTCCCGGCACCCGAGCCATGATAGCCCGCGAGACAACCCAGATGCCGCTCGAGGTGGCCGTCTTCTCAGGCGAATCGGCCCTCAAGGCCCAAAGCCAAGGCGCCTCGCGCGTCGAGCTCAACGCCCCCGGGTCGTACCACGTCGGCGGCACCACGCCCCCCATCGCCGAGCTCAAGAGGATCGCGGCAAAGGTCACCATCCCCGTGCGCATCATGATCCGCCCCCGCGGCGCGCCCGGCGACGGATCCCCCGACTTCGTCTACACGCCCAAGGAGGTCGCCGCCATGGCCCAGTCGATACGCGACTTCAAGGCCACGGGGCTCCTCAACCCCTTCCGCGGCGACGGCTTCGTCTTTGGCCTCCTGCAGCCCGCGCCCGCGCCCG